AGAGGAGAGGGGGAAATAGGGGAAAAGGAAAAAAGGGGGAAGGGGGAAATGGGGGGAAGGGGGAAATGGGGAGAGAGGGGGAAGATAGAGGGAAGGAGGGGGGGGGGGGGGGTTTTTTGGGGGGTGGGGTGGGGGGGGGGGGTGGGGGGGTTTTTTTGGGGGGGGGTGGGGGGGTGGGGGGGGGGGGGGGGGGGGGGGGGGGGGGGGGGGGGGGGGGGAAAGGGGGTGGGTGGGGAGAAGGGAAGTAGGGGATGAGAGGGGAAGATTAGAGGATGAGAGAGGGAATTAGGGATGAGAAGGGACGTTTAGAGGGTGGAGAGGGATAGAGGGATGAGAGAGGGGAAGATAGAGGGATGAGAGAGGGGAAGATAGGGGAAGATAGAGGAGGAGAGGGGAAGGTAGAGGGATGAGAGAGGGAAGATAGAGGGCAATATTTTTAGTGAACCTGAGAAGAGACTGCAAACAGGAGATGAAAGAAAGACTCAACACATACACACACACACTCAGACACACTCAAAGACACCCACACACACACACACCCACACACACACACACACACACCTGGAAGATCTCGAAGCCTGCTATTCCAGTATGCCTATGAAAGAGGCTCCTGTCTCGTCTGCGGTCCAGCGCTCGGTGATCCTGTGGACCAGCCAACGGAACAGACGCTCATATGTGCTTTGGCCAACGCCCCACTGCAAAGTCAGCCTAGAGAGATCGACAGAAGAGAGAGAGGGGCATTATTCATTTAGGGATTTAAGAAACCAGCATGTGCTTCTTACAGCAATTGTGTGTGTTGTGTGGTGTGTTGTGTGTGTGGTGTGTGTGTATTTTTTTTATTTTGATTGGATCCCATCGTGATCAACACAGCCCTCCTCCGGGGTTCACACAAAAATACTAAACAGTGACAGACACACACATTAATACACAACACACTCAAGGACCCTAACTACATACATTTGAATAAGAATACACATTTCTACACTTAGGCTACATATCCACTGTAGAAACAAACACATAGTTTTATTCTCTTAAAATCTGGCCTTCTAGTTTTGTCACACCCACAGTGGGTCTCTTTACGTAAAGTGTACCCGGTGGAGCAGTTATAAAAATGAACAGTCCCACCGGGGTGGAGCCATTCATAAAATGAAAAGTCCCACCGGGGGGAGCCATTTATAAAATGAACAGTCCCACCGGGGTGGAGCCCTTTATAAAATGAAAAGTCCCACCGGGTGGGACATTCATAAAAATGAACAGTCCCACCCGGGGGGGAGCCCATTCATAAAATGAACAGTCCCACCGGGGTGGACCATTCCTAAAATGAACAGAGTCCCCGGGGGGTGGCCCTTCATAAAATGACAGAGTCCCACCGGGGTGGAGCCATTCATAAATGAACAGTCCCCCGGGGTGGGCCATTCATAAAAAAGAACAGTCCCCACCGGGGTGGAGCCATTCATAAAAATGAACAGTCCCACCGGGGGGAGCATTAAAAATGAACGTCCCCCCGGGTGGAGCCTTCATAAAATGAACAGTCCCACGGGTGGGCCATTCATAAAGGGAAAAGTTTCCCACCGGGGTGGAGCCATTCATAAAATGAACAGTCCCACCGGGGGTGGAGCCATTATAAAATAAACCCAGTCCCACCGGGGTGGAGCCATTCATACAATGAACAGTCCCCCCGGGGTGGAGCCATTCATAAAATGAACAGTCCCACCGGGGTGGAGCCATTCATAAAAATGAACAGTCCCACCGGGGTGGAGCCATTCATAAAAATGAACAGTCCCACCGGGGTGGAGCCATTCATAAAATGAACAGCCCACGGGGTGGAGCCATTCAAAAAATGAACAGTCCCCCGGGGGGGACCCATTCATAAAATGAACAGTCCCACGGGGTGGAGCCATTAAAAAAAAACCCCCCAAACCGGGGTGGACCCTTTTCATAAATGAACGTCCCCCCGGGGGTGGAGCCTTTCAAAAAATAAAGCCCCACCGGGGGGGAGCCATTCATAAATGAACAGCCCCCGGGGGGTGACCCATTCATAAAAATAAACAGTCCCACCGGGGGGAGCCTTTTATAAAATAAAACAGCCCCCGGGGTGGAGCCATTCAAAAAGAACGTCCCCCCGGGGGGGGAGCCATTAAAAAAATGAACAGTCCCACCGGGGGAGCCATTCAAAAATAAAACAGTCCCCCCGGGGTGGAGCCTTTATAAAATAAACAGTCCCCCCGGGGGGACCCTTTCATAAAGAACAGTCCCACGGGGGGGAGCCTTCTAAAATGAACAGCCCACCGGGGGGGGGCCATTCATAAAAATAACACCCACGGGGTGGAGCCATTCAAAAAAAATGAAAACCCCCCGGGGGGGAGCCATTCATAAAAGAACACCCCCCCCGGGTGGGAGCCTTTCAAAAATGAACATCCACCGGGGGGGGCCCATTCAAAAAAATAAACAGTCCCCCCGGGGGGGGCCCATTCAAAAATAACAGCCCCCGGGGGGGGTTTTAAAAAAAAGCCCAGGGGTGGGGCCATTCAAAAATAAACAGGTCCCCCCGGGTGGACCCTTCATAAATAACAGCCCCCACGGGGGGGACCCATTCAAAAATGAACGTCCCACCGGGGGGGGGCCCATTCAAAAAAGAACGTCCCCCCGGGGTGGACCCATTCATAAAAGAACGCCCCCAACATCTTTTTCCCCAGCAAACTTCAACTAATTTTCACCCGAAATCTTGAATTCTTAAATTCCCTCAATAGCACGACAAAGCCCTTTTATCTATGAGGCTTGTTTACAATTGCTTTTCTAAGCAGGTCCTGATATCCTAATCCCAAAGGGGAAACATCTTATCTTTAAACCCCAAACACCAGATGTGCTCGGGAGGCAGAGGATGGATCCCAACAAGCTATTTAGGTCAGAAAGGGGAGAGGAGCTGTGCTGTGATGTGCTGTTTATTTTTGGTTTTTTTAAAGCTAATTTGCAGCTAGCTTGAGTGATTGACATGGCAGGAGTTCCTGGGGACCATGGCTCTATATATTACTGTGTGTTGCTTTGAGGGACTGTGAAGAGACTTCTTGTGGCATGTTTTGTGGGGTACGCATGTCTGTCAGAGCGGTATGTTATTTTGATTGAATAGACAGTTTGAGTTTTAACAATTAATTTCTTGCAAAAAAACAAAAAGGGATGCAGTCAATCTCTCCTTTAAGCCAGAAGAGATCAACATGCATTTGTTGACATTATCTCTCTGTGAACATTGCAGGGCATGACGTGCTGTTCTGTTCTGAGGGCGCTGCGCTTTCCGTCCTTCTTTGCAGCACCTGACCAATAACCGGAAGTAGTTAAGATATGATAAAACTACAGCTTGCAGGACTTCTTTGCTCATGGTGGTGTTAAGAATGCTGAGCATCTCTTTATCACAGACAAACCTCGCCCCATCTTTACAGCAATTAAATCAATATGCCTTGACCATGAAAAACGTTACAGTCTAAGATGACACCAAGAAGTTTAGTCTCCTCAAACTTGCTCAAAAGCCATATTATTCATTACCCAATTCAGCTGAGGTTTAGAGCTTATGGAGTGATTTGTACCAAATACTATGCTCTTAGTCTTAGATATTCTCAGGACGTGTATTAATGTATGTGTGTGTCTCACCTGTTCTTTGGTCTGGGCCTTCTGGACGTACTCGCGTCCTACTTTAATCCTCGGGGTGAGGATGGCCCGGGAGAACTCCAGCACGCTGATGCCCAGCAGGTGGCTCAGTTTCTGGGCAGCCGTGTCGTCTGGCATGGAGCACTGGTCCTGGTTCTTCTCCTTAGTGAACGAGATGTTCCCAAACTGGAGCACCGCAGAGATCACCTTCAACATGGCTAGGAGGAGGAGGGAAGAGGAAGAGAGACAGGCAGAAAGAGAGGGATGGAGAGAAAATATCGTTTTTTTACTCCAATGTTCTGAGGAAAGCTCTGTCTTCACCCCCCCCCTCTCCTCTCCTCTCCTCTCCTCTCCTCTCCTCTCCTCTCCTCTCCTCTCCTCTCCTCTCCTCTCCTCTCCTCTCCTCTCCATCCCTCTCTCGCTTACATAGAGACTCCTCAGGTGTGAATCCCATGATGGTCATAGAGTCCATGGTCTGGGTGAAGTTGTCAGCGTCACTCTGGCCTGGAACAGGAATAGCACCTCCACTCAGAAACCTGTACTGGTCAGCACTACCCAGGAGAAGGTCCGCTACGGAGAGACAGAGAGGGAGAGAGAGATGAAAACAGAGAGAGAGAGGGAGATGCCAGTTATCAGTAAAAGGATAAAACGTCATGAATCGAACATCTATTCAACCCATCCCCTTTCTCACCTCCCTCTCCTACCCTCTCTTCCTCCTCTCCCCCTCTCTTCCTCCTCTCCCCCCTCTCTTCCTCCTCTCCCCCTCTCTCACCTCTGGTGGCCTCTGAAGCTCCACACATGAGTTGGTAAAAGATGTGGAAGGTCCTCTCTTCTTTGGCCTGGCGGATCGCCCTCGACTTCTCCAGCAGGTCTGAGGTCAGGGTTTAAGGAAGGGTTCAATAGCCCCAGACACTAATCTAAGGACAGTTTTGCATCCCTTGCTTCCCTGAGCTGACCCCTGTGTGTAAGGGCAACTTCTACCTGATGACAGATTAGCAATGACCCACCGGTGAGCATACTAATGAGTTCCAACCATAATATTTAGGTTGGGACTTGAAACAGAGTCTGACTGCAGAGGAAGGATACAGGTCTCAATGTTGGCACCGACAATGTATCCAGCCACGTCAAAGTTAATACGGATGAATTTGCCCTGAGAGACAAGAGGAGAAGAAATGTGTCAGTTGATGATCTAACATACACATTTTCTAATTATGCAAACTCAACAACAAACACAGTAAAGAAAAATACAGCCAATAAAAAATATACTGTAGATCTGGGATCAATCTAGATATTAATACATTCTTACAAATCTGGAAGAGTTGTCGTTCTTGACAGTCTTGGCATTTCCAAAGGCCTCCAGGATGGGGTTGGCCTGTAGCAGCTGTCGCTCTAGCTCCCCCTGGAGGACAGGACAGGCACTGCATCAACACTGGGATATACATCACAAAGCAACTCCACAACCCAAAATACTGTTCCCTCAATCCCAGTACAGAAGAGGGGAGACCAGACCCATCAGCCAGTAAACCAGGCAGTAACCCAGTGGTCTCAACTCTGGTGAGCCCAGAGTAATCTAGAGATAAATAGCTTTTCATGTGTTCTCTTATTGACATTTTCAGCATCTAGCCATCTAACATATGCCAGCCAAGGTGCCAGACTTTGTGCATTCAACAACTCTACATTGTTGCCTTGCCAAGACCTCGGCCAGACCTTGGTAAGACAACGGCTAAGTTGGCTTAAGCAGAAACCAACTAGCACAGAGGCTGTGTAATAGCCTGTCCCTGTGCATTTGCACTATTTCACATGTATTTGTCGTGTCAGTTGAGAACCACTGCGTTAGATCAGAAAGTATGGCCGCAGATGCTAGCTCTAGCTTTAGCTACACAGTGGCTCAAGCTATAGCACTACTAGCTCTGACTATAGCTTTAGGTACAGTAGTATTAGCATTAGCATTAGCATTAGCTGTGTCATTATCTAGGGAGCTACTGTAGGTGGATTTAAAAGCGGCAGGTAAAGAACGCCAGCCAAGCAGCACTCAAATCTACACACAGCAAGAAGCCAGGGCTTTGTATGGGAACAAAGCTCAGGCTGCGAACAATGCACATACTACCAGACAAAGCACCAAGTGCACACACACGCACGCAAAAACACACGCACATAAAAGCACGCACACACACAAAAGCACGCACACACGCACACGCACACAGACAGGTATGTGTGGAAATTCCTGGACAGCCAGAATGTATGCTTAACTATTCCACATGGTAAATGCCTGTTGTATTTGGGCATCATTCACAGGTGTGGCCAACAGAATGGAAGCTATGAGCTCATTCACTGTAAAGGGAGGATGGGGAGGGAGGTCTATAGCCCGGTCTGAGAACAACCTCTAGCCAATACCCCTTCAGTGCTAGCAGATCAGGAAAGACTGGATAGGTGTAATCACTAAGGTGATGGCTCTATCTACGCGTCCAGAGGGTTTAGGGGAGCTTCCACCATATTGCGTACACCTATCTGGTTTCCAGATCGGCGGTTGTTTTAAAACCAAGCTTTTGGGCATTATCAGTGAATTCCAAAGCCTTCCTTCACTGATGGGGGAATGATTCTGAGACCCACCTTTTGGCGGGATTAACACCAGCTGTCAATCAGGAAACCAGAGCATTTTCATTGGGCAACTGTATATGGTTTGATGATTGACAGGTTGTTAATCCAGCCAATCAGGACATTGGGAGAGATTCATAGACCCGCCCATCACCACTTATTCTATAATAATAATAATAATAATAATAATAATAATAATAATAATAATTCTAGCACCCATTGGGTGTTGCTACAGATATACTGTACAGTAAAAAGCCAAACACCCATAGACACCAGAGAACAGCAGGGCTTTCATTCAGGAGGGAGTAACGTTACAGAACATTCAGATAGAAATGTATTGTCTAGAACAGACATGATTCTCTCTTATACAGAACAAGATAATTATGTCTGCTCTATACATTCTACATCTATCTGCCATGTTTGACCTCAATCAACCCACAGTGGTGATAATAGTCCTTATACTTTATATTATACTCACATATTGCACACTCTGAGAGATTGAGAAAAGGGGGAAGGTTGGGAGAATTAACGGATGAGACAAACAAACAAACAAAAGACAACAACAGACCAATGAATGCAGTACAAAACAAAAACAAAACGCTTGACAATTATGGAGGAACACATCAGTAATGGTGTTGTTAAAGGATGTCAGTCTGGAGCACCACCAGAATCAGAAGAGAAGGAAAGAGGAGAAGACAGGATAGGATAGAGCCCACTCACCCTGTTCCACCATAGAACTGCCCCTGGGCAACGACCTACTGCCATCCATCCTGAACACACATGACAGAAGAGGAGAGGAAGAGGGGGAGTTGGAGGCGAGGGGTAGGGAGAGTGCAAAATCAAGAGGGAGGAGGGAGAGAGGGAGGGAAAGATAGGAGAAATAATAGAAGGGAAACATAGAAAGGGGAGGATAAAGGCCATTAGGGGGAGATAGTACAAGGAGGGGGACATGAGAGCAAGGGCAGGAGAGAGAGAGCAGCAGGAGAGAGGAGGGCCGGGAGAGGGAATGGCAGGGAGAGAGGTATAGGCAGGGAGAAGATGGAGAGGGATGCAGAGAGACAGGAATGATTATAGGAGGTCACTCTATAAAATGATTCCTCGGGGAAGAGAGGGACAGTAGACGAGAAGAGCGGAGTAGAGCAATGAGGGGAGGAGAGAGAGAATGAGGGCAGAACCGTAGAGGAGCGAGAGGCAAAGCAGGAGCAGACGGTTATAGTGGCAGAGTAGGATGAAGCAGAGCATGTACAGAATGATTTATAGCATCATCTTCTTCATGTAACCCTTGTTTTCCTTTCCCACACATTATCAGTGGGACAAAAAGACATCATTCCTCAGATAATCCCCTCAGTCAGGTAGTAACATCATCCTGCATAATCCTTTTTAACCAAGTCAGACATAACATCATCCACATCAATCTCTCCTCAGTCAGACAATAAACATCACCATCAATCACTCCTCTTCCTCAGCAGACATAAAATCATCCATCTACAATTATCCCCTCTCAGGACAATAATAGCTCATCCACAATCAATCTCACCTCAGTCAGGACAAAAACATAACCATCAATCAATCCTCCCTCGCATCAGGACAATAAACATCATCCATCAATAAATCCTCTTCCTCAGTCAGGACAATAAACATCATCCATCAATCCTCTCCTCAGTCAGGACAATAAAACATCATCCATCAATCATCCATCCCTCAGTCAGGACAATAAACATCATCCATCAATAAATCTCCTCCTCAGTCAGGACAATAAACATCATCCACAATCATCCCCTCAGTCAGGACAATAAACATCATCCATCAATCAATCCATCCCTCAGTCAGGACAATAAACATCATCCATCAATAAATCCTCTTCCCTCAGTCAGGCAATAAACATATCATCAATCATCTCCTCAGTCAGGACAATAAACATCATCCATCAAATCAACCAATCCCCCAGTCAGGGACAATAAACATCATCCATCAATCAATCCTCTCATCAGTCAGGACAATAAAACATCACCATCAATCAATCCACTCTCCTCAGTCAGGACAATAAACATCATCCATCAATCAATCATCTCCTCAGTCAGGACAATAAACATCATCCATCAATCACTCCTCTCCCTCAGTCAGGACAATAAACATCATCCATCAATAAATCCTCTTCCTCAGTCAGGACAATAAACATCATCCATCAATCAATCCTCTCCCTCAGTCAGGACAATAAACATCATCCATCAATCAATCCTCTCCCTCAGTCAGGACAATAAACATCATCCATCAATCAATCCAATCCCTCAGTCAGGACAATAAACATCATCCATCAATCAATCCAATCCCTCAGTCAGGACAATAAACATAATCCATCAATCAATTCTCACCCTCAGTCAGGACAATAAACATCATCCATCAATAAATCCTCTCCCTCAGTCAGGACAATAAACATCATCCATCAATCAATCCAATCCCTCAGTCAGGACAATAAACATCATCCATCAATCAATCCACTCCCTCAGTCAGGACAATAAACATAATCCATCAATCAATTCTCACCCTCAGTCAGGACAATAAACATCATCCATCAATAAATCCTCACCCTCAGTCAGGACAATAAACATCATCCATCAATCAATTCTCACCCTCAGTCAGGACAATAAACATATCCATCAATAAATCCTTCCTCAGTCAGGACAAAAACATCATCCATCAATCAATCCAATCTCCTCAGTCAGGACAATAAACATCATCCATCAATCAATCCTATCCCTCAGTCAGGGACAATAAACATCATCCATCAATCAATCCTCTCACCATCAGTCAGGACAAATAAATAATCATCCATCATAAAATTCTCACCATCAGTCAGGACAATAAAACATCATCCATCAATCAATCTCATCCCCAGTCAGGACAATAAACATATCCATCAATAAATCCTCCTCGCTAGTCAGGACAATAAACATCATCCATCAATCAACTCTCTCCCTCAGTCAGGACAATAAACAATCATCCATCAATCAATCTCTTTCCCTCAGTCAGGACAATAAACATCATCATCAATCAATCTCTCCTCAGTCAGACAATAAACATCATCCATCAATCATTCCTCACCCTCAGTAGGACAATAAAATCATCCATCAATCAATCCATCTCCTCAGTAGGACAATAAACATACATCCATCAATAAATCCTCTCCCTCAGTCAGGACAATAAACTCATCCATCAATCAATCCTCTTCCTCAGTCAGGACAATAAACATCATCCATCAATAAATCATCTCTCCTCAGTCAGGACAATAAACATCACCATCAATCACCTTCCAGTCAGGACATAACATCATCCATCAATCACTCCTCTCCCTCAGTCAGGACATAAACATCATCCATCAACAATCTCTCCCTGTCAGGACAATAAAATCATCCATCAATCAATCTCTCCCTCAGTCAGGACAATCAACATCATCCATCAAAAATCCTCTTCCCTGTCTAGCTAACACCAATAAATCCTCCTCATAGGACAATAAAATCATCCATCAATCAATCTCTCCCTCAGTCAGGACAATAACATCCTCAATCAATTCTCACTCAGTCGGACATAAACATCCAAGACAACTAAAATCAAGCCATTTCCTCCATATATTCTCTTCGTCCTCACCCCCTTCTCCTCTCCTCCTCCCCCTTCTCTCGCTCTCTCTCTCTCTCTCTCCTCTCTCATCATCTCGTCCTCGTCTCTCTTCTCTCTCTCTTCCCTCTCCTCTCTCTCCTCTCTCTCTCTCTCCTTCCCCAGTTTACCTGTGAGGCCTCCTTGTTTCTACCCCAGAGTTCCAGTCTTATGGGACGAGGCCACATGAGCCAGATACTGGATGACTTTCTTAGTGTTCTCTGTCTTCCCTGCGCCAGACTCGCCTCTGGAACACACACACACACACACACACACACACACACACACACACACACACACACACACACACACACACACACACACCCACACACACACAAACACACACACACACAACACACACACACACTCACACACACACACACACACACACAGACACACAGACACACAGACACACACAGAAACAAGTATGAGAAACTCACACACATAAACCCCATCTCGTTTCACAAGGGTCCTCTATAAAAATACACATATACAACCCAGTTTTGGAGGACATATAAACACAACACAAACACATATAACAGAAAGGACACGCACACCTTGCATATAAAATACAAAATACAACTAGATACACACGTGTAGGCCACCAGTGAACAGAGGAACCATGCAGTGTATTCCTCTATAAACAGAGAGCAGGTGTGCAGGATACACACAGTAGTCGTGGTGTTTATGTTGGATGGGAATAAAGGAGAATACAGAAAAACTAAAAATACTCCTAATGTTGGAGGGCGACTAGGCTGGAACATTCTAAAAACAGGATCCTAGCAGAAACTAAGCTATACTCAGCTTCAGTAATCTAAACTGGGATCATTTACCATGGTGGGAATTCAGACAGACGGACGGACGACAGGCAGACAGACAAGACAGGCAGACAAGACAGACAGGCAAACAGATAGACAGACAAGACAGGCAGACAGACAGGCAGACAGGCAAACAGACAGGCAGGCAGGCAGAAAGATAAATAACCCCAGGTTACTCACGTGCAGAGGATAGATTGATCTTCCCTGTCTGTGAGAGAATAATAATTCAAGCAGAATATGACAACCTCACACACATATTATCCATTGAACAGTACTACCTTCATTTATTACACCAGTAATCATTGCAACAGGGGGATCGATACATTTGTCAATCAATCTCAGAGAACCTCACTGAAACACAAAGGCTGTCAGTGTGTGTGTGATTTCAACAGCTCTCACTGAGCAGCATTGTCGTGTAGTGAGGAGGAAGGAGGTCAAAGCCACAGAAGTGGTCTCTCCAAACAGACCTCAGACCAATGCTCCAGCCCACACTACAGACTCCAACACAACGGCCTGACTCTGTCTGTTACATTCTTTATGTTTGTTTTTTTAAGGTTTCCTCTGACGCACGGACACACACACAGAGAGGAAAGCACACACACATTTACATTACATTTACGTCATTTAGCAGACGCTCTTATCCAGAGCGACTTACAGTTAGTGAGTGCATACATTATTGTAACTTTTTATTTTTTTATTTTTTTTTCATACCCCCCCGTGGGAATCGAACCCACAACCCTGGCGTTGCAAACCAACTGAGCTACATCCCCTGCCGGCCATTCCCTCCCCTGCCCTAGACGACGCTGGGCCAATTGTGCGCCGCCCCATGGGTCTCCCGGTCGTGGCCGGCTACGACAGAGCCTGGATTCGAACCAGGATCTCTAGTGGCACAGCTAGCACTGCGATGCAGTGCCTTAGACCACTGCGCCACTCGGGAGACACACACGCACGCATACACACAGACATCCACGGACACGCACACATACCGGTCATACTGGTTCAATGATCAATAGGATCACAGACACACACCTGTCACACTGAAAGAAAGAAAGAATAAGAGAGAGAGAGAGAGAGAGAGAGAGAGAGACTGACTGTCTTGTCAACTAATGAATTGAAAAAAGAAATGTTGCTCAATCAGTCTCTAACCGGTTTTAATGGAGAAGAGTGGCACAATCAGTGTTTGTTTGTCACGCCCCTATCATAATACATGCGTGGGAAATATAATATAGCATAGATGTGAGGGTCAGGGGTTAGGGTTACCTTGTAGCATGCTGCGGTAGGCAGCCTCTGATATAGCATAGATGTGAGGGGGCATCTCATGGCGTTTCTTCCCTCGGTACATCTCCACTATAGACTCTGTGTAGATGGGCAGGTTCTTATAGGGGTTGATCACCACACAGAACAGGCCCGAGTATGTCTGCAAACACACACACACACACACACAGGTTAGATATACACAAAGTTCAATGATAACTAAAATACCATGCTTAATCTCAACGACCCCCCCCCCCATATGCCTAGCCCCAACCATTAAGCCAGGTAATGTCATACCACATACACACATACACACACACACATAATCTGAGTCCTATAACAGCTATGTTAGGAGAGGGAGGGTCAATCCTGCCCAACATTCTCCACCCATTAACCTACAGTATGAGTAGGACCCATTAACCTACAATATCAGTAGGACCCATTAACCTACAGTATCAGTAGGACCCATTAACTACAGTATCAGTAGGACCCATTAACCTACAGTATCAGTAGGACCCATTAACCTACAGTATCAGTAGGACCCATTAACCTACAGTATGAGTAGGACCCATTAACCTACAGTATGAGTAGGACCCATTAACCTACAGTATCAGTAGGACCCATTAACCTACAGTATCAGTAGGACCCATTAACCTACAGTATGAGTAGGACCCATTAACCTACAGTATCAGTAGGACCCATTAACCTACAGTATCAGTAGGACCCATTAACCTACAGTATCAGTAGGACCCATTAACCTACAGTATCAGTAGGACCATTAACCTACAGTATCAGTAGGAACCATTAACCTACAGTATCAGTAGGCCCATTACCTACAGTATCAGTAGGACCCATTAACCTACAGTATCAGTAGGACCATTAACCTACAGTATCAGTAGGACCCATTAACCTACAGTATCAGTAGGACCCATTAACCTACAGTATCAGTAGGACCCATTAACCTACAGTATCAGTAGGACCCATTAACCTACAGTATCAGTAGGACCCATTAACCTACAGTATCAGTAGGACCCATTACCTACAGTATCAGTAGGACCCATTAACCTACAGTATCAGTAGGACCCATTAAACCTACAGTATCAGTAGGACCCATTAAACCTACAGTATCAGTAGGGACCCATTAACCTACAGCATGAGTAGGACCCATTAACCTACAGTATGAGTAGGACCCATCAACCTACAGCATGAGTAGGACCCATTAACCTACAGCATGAGTAGGACCAGGTGGAATGTGTAAGGAGGCATTTCTAATGGAAAATAAAGATAGCTGTCGGGATAATCAGTCAACCAGCTAGTGCTACAACACAGGTTTATGAATGAAATATGCAGGCAACAGTGTAAAGGTACTGATAACAAGATTACTCTGTGGATTCTGACAGGTCGCCCCTACCCACCCACTGTGGATTCTGACAGGTCGCCCCTACCCACCCACTGTGGATTCTGACTGGTCGCCCCTACCCACCCACTGTGGATTCTGACTGGTCGCCCCTACCCACCCACTGTGGATTCTGACTGGTCGCCCCTACCCACCCACTGTGGATTCTGACTGGTCGCCCCTACCCACCCACTGTGGATTCTGACTGGTCGCCCCTACCCACCCACTGTGGATTCTGACTGGTCGCCCCCTAAACCTAACCCTGACCCGTACCCGTACCCGTACCCGTACCTTAATCTTAACCCAAAAACCTTAACCCTAACCCTAGCTCCTAACGCTAAACCTAATTCTAACCCTAACACTATTTCTAACCTTAACCTTAAACCCCATAGAAATAGCATTTGACCTCGTGGGGACCAAGAAAATGTCGCCAGTTGGTCAAATGTTTGTTTGTTTACTATTCTTGTGGGGACTTCTGGTCACACACACACACATACAGTGTGACGTATTTATCTTGTGCTTATACAGTGGGGAAAAAAAGTATTTAGTCAGCCACCAATTGTGCAAGTTCTCCCACTTAAAAAGATGAGAGAGGCCTGTAATTTTCATCATAGGTACACGTCAACTATGACAGACAAAATGAGGAAAAAAAATCCAGAAAATCACATTGTAGGATTTGTAATGAATTTATTTGCAAATTATGGTGGAAAATAAGTATTTGGTCAATAACAAAAGTTTCTCAATACTTTGTTATATACCCTTTGTTGGCAATGACACAGGTCAAACGTTTTCTGTAAGTCTTCACAAGGTTTTCACACACTGTTGCTGGTATTTTGGCCCATTCCTCCATGCAGATCTCCTCTAGAGCAGTGATGTTTTGGGGCTGTCGCTGGGCAACACGGACCTTCAACTCCCTCCAAAGATTTTCTATGGGGTTGAGATCTGGAGACTGGCTAGGCCACTCCAGGACCTTGAAATGCTTCTTACGAAGCCACTCCTTCGTTGCCCGGGCGGTGTGTTTGGGATCATTGTCATGCTGAAAGACCCAGCCACGTTTCATCTTCAATGCCCTTGCTGATGGAAGGAGGTTTTCACTCAAAATCTCACGATACATGGCCCCATTCATTCTTTCCTTTACACGGATCAGTCGTCCTGGTCCCTTTGCAGAAAAACAGCCCCAAAGCATGATGTTTCCACCCCCATGCTTCACAGTAGGTATGGTGTTCTTTGGATGCAACTCAGCATTCTTTGTCCTCCAAACACGACGAGTTGAGTTTTGACCAAAAAGTTCTATTTTGGTTTCATCTGACCATATGACATTCTCCCAATCCTCTTCTGGATCATCCAAATGCACTCTAGCAAACTTCAGACGGGCCTGGACATGTACTGGCTTAAGCAGGGGGACACGTCTGGCACTGCAGGATTTGAGTCCCTGGCGGCGTAGTGTGTTACTGATGGTAGGCTTTGTTACTTTGGTCCCAGCTCTCTGCAGGTCATTCACTAGGTCCCCCCGTGTGGTTCTGGGATTTTTGCTCACCGTTCTTGTGATCATTTTGACCCCACGGGGTGAGATCTTGCGTGGAGCCCCAGATCGAGGGAGATTATCAGTGGTCTTGTATGTCTTCCATTTCCTAATAATTGCTCCCACAGTTGATTTCTTCAAACCAAGCTGCTTACCTATTGCAGATTCAGTCTTCCCAGCCTGGTGCAGGTCTACAATTTTGTTTCTGGTGTCCTTTGACAGCTCTTTGGTCTTGGCCATAGTGGAGTTTGGAGTGTGACTGTTTGAGGTTGTGGACAGGTGTCTTTTATACTGATAACAAGTTCAAACAGGTGCCATTAATACAGGTAACGAGTGGAGGACAGAGGAGCCTCTTAAAGAAGAAGTTACAGGTCTGTGAGAGCCAGAAATCTTGCTTGTTTGTAGGCGACCAAATACTTATTTTCCACCATAATTTGCAAATAAATTCATTAAAAATCCTACAATGGGATTTTCTGGATATTTTTTCTCTCAATTTCTGTCATAGTTGACGTGTACCTATGATGACAATTACAGGCCTCTCTCATCTTTTTAAGTGGGAGAACTTGCACAATTGGTGTCTGACTAAATACTTTTTTCCCCCACTGTATATACTGGACATACAAACACCAGTTTTGACTTTCACTTCTCCCTTGTATGCTGTGCAAGTTTGAGTTTACGTATTATTGTGGCCTGTGTGTGTGTGTGTCTGCATGAGCGTGTGTATGTGTGTGGGTGTGTACTGTACACTCACGTATATCAAGCCAGAGTAGTATCTCTCTCTGAGGTTGTGTAGGACGGAGGCTTCGTTGAGACAGGTGAGGTCAGCCATGTCCTCCACCTTACTGAACCTGGGAGGATTCATCCTCTGGACCTCCTCTCTGGACAGGGTCAGCTTCCTCTGGCTGTCTGTTAGCTCCACCTCCACCTCATCCCCACGCTCCTCACGGATACTGGCAGACTGGAGGGGGGGAGAGAGGATAGGGGAGAGAGAGAGAGCGGGTAGAAGGGGGGAGATAGAGAGAGAGGATAGGGGGAGCGATAGAGGCGGGGGGAGAGAGAGAGAGGCGGGGAAGAGAGAGAGAGAGAGAGGGTATGGGAAGGGACAGTGAGAGGTTAGTTAGATACTAGATCCAGGAAACATCCACTAACAGCACAAGACATGATAAGCCATAACACATGGTAATAACACATGGTAATAACACATGGTAATAACGCATGGTAATAACACATGATAATAACACATGATAATAACACATGGTAATAACACATGGTAATAACACATGATAATAACAAGTGATAATAACACATGGTAATAACACATGATAATAACACGTGGTAATAACACATGGTGGTGTGAAATATAGGGATTCATCACATGACAAGAGGAGGTGGGATTTATTTCCAGTGTGAAGCAATAAGCATCACTGGTGTCCACATACACACACGTGACATAGAACGGTGCATACATTGATAGTTGTGGAGATGGCTAGACTGAGGAGGGGCGAACAGAAATAGATGCAGAGGAAGAGAGAGAGAGGAAGAGGGAGAGAGGAAGAGCAAGAGAGGAAGAGAGAGAGAGTTAATAACCCTTGTCATAGTACAGCTCTTATGACCGGGGGGGACAGGAAGTGGTGAACTCTGAACTGGTCAGGTCACAAGATTCTACCCTGCTCTGCTCCGTTCCGCTCGGTTCACCATTTACTTCTGCCTGGCACACATACCCGCATTCTTAGAATACGACCAACCACACACTTAAAATATGAATGTAGAATGACGTCTGGCGTCTGTGACTGTGTGTGTGTGTCTGTTACTGCGACCTCTTTAATATTAGGAGGCTGAAGGAGTGTATTGTTCTATTCATAGAGCTCCATATCAGAACAGCAGAGGCACAGAGAGAGATACCCTGTATAGACATACTATACAGTAGAGCACCCATTGTCACATTGTAGAACACAAAGAGCCTTGGAACACAGTATGCACTGGGACACAGCAGAACAGACGTAAGAATAGAGTGATCAAGGTGAAGGATGGAGCTGGAAGTGTTCTACAAGTAAGAAGAGAGTGATCAAGGTGAAGGATAGAGCTGGAAGTGTTCTACAAGTAAGAAGAGAGTGATCAAGGTGAAGGATAGAGCTGGAAGTGTTCTACAAGTAAGAAGAGAGCGATCAAGGTGAAGGATGGAGCTGGAAGTGTTCTACAAGTAAGAAGAGAGCGAACAAGGTGAAGGATAGAGCTGGAAGTGTTC